TGGTTTCTCTGCCTCATCAGCAATGCTGATTTAATCCTGCCAACGTCCCTAAGTGGTAAGTACTGTTATTATTCCCATTTACAGAAGGGGAAACTCATTGGTGTGAGACTATGTGGGTCGTGCATGGTGGTCCTTTGCTCTAGACCCCGTGTTCCTGACCTCCAGGCTTGGTGGCCTCCCCTCTCCAGGCCATCCCCTCTGTGTTCGGTGGCTGCTTTCTCATCAGGTGAAGGGAATGATGCTGTTCAATGTGTTTTATAAAAGAGCTTTGGGCCTTAAACTTCTTAAGTAAGATTGCGCTATACCCCATAGAGATGTGATCCCCATCGGCCCTAGAAGTTGAACTTCCTGCTGCTTTCCACTTAAAGTGCCCTGCTTGGGGTGCCTGGGTGGCTCAGTTGGTTAAGCGTCTGCCTTCGGCTCAGGTCATGATCCCAGGGTCCTGGGATCGAGTCCTGAATCCGTTCCCTGCTTGGCAAGAAGCCTGCTCCTCCTTCTGCTGCTCCCTCTGCTCATGTGCGGTCTCTCTCTCTCTCTCTCTCTCTCTCTGTCAAATAAATAAATAATAAAAAGTAAAATAAAGTGCCCTGCTTGGAGCTGCAGACAGCATCGCCTCAGATGTGAATCCCTTCGGGCTCTGTTGAGGTAAAGGACTCCTTGACCTTTGGAAAACACAGTTACAGCTCTGATCTGAAAAAAAAAAAAAAAAGTAAAATGACCTCGCATCGACATTGGTCCTGAGTTTATCAAATCCTTTAAATAAAGACCTCAAGGTAGGCAGACACATAGCCTGTGTTATCCCGGTCCAAGTTTGATTACAGAAAGGTATGTGAGGTCTGACAGAGCTGAAGGTCAATGGTTTTCAAGCTGATTTCCGACACGTTTCAAGGAGACACTCCAGAGAAAGACTTGGGGGTACAGGGCGGCCTGGCCTGAAATTAGAGGTCCCCTAGGCTTCTCCTTACTTTCAACCAGTTAGTCCAGTCTTTCAGTTTCTATTTTATGGAATAAGCCCTGGGATCACATTTTATTTAAGGGGCCTTTCCCTACCTGTAATTGTTTTTTGTATATTAAAAACCAGTTGAGCTAACCGACTCCATCCTCTGCCTCTGAGGCCACTGAGGTGCTGAAGGGGGAATTCACTTCCCCAAGGTCACGTATTGTTTCAGCTAAAAGCAATTCCTTGTATTCCTCCTTTGAAAGCTCAAATGCTGGGCCAGTTGCCAAGTCTGTCGGAGTTTGTTCCTCTGCTGTCTGGGTCAGCCCTTATTCCATCCAGCGGTGCTGACCCGGCCAGATTTCCTTTTTGTGTAGGGCTCCTCCGGGTGTGTTTGGAAAACAAAACACCATTCAGGTGTGTGTGTGTGGGGGGGGCAGATTCGAGTCGAGAATCCTCTAACATGCTCTTTCTCTTTGAGGTACAGTCAGCCTGTGTGGTTGCCCCTCCTGCTGATTTATTTATGCCTTGCAGGCAGCCTTGCAGAGAACACAGCCTTGCAGAGAACACAGCCTTGCAGAGAACATTGAGCAGCTCTTCTCCACCCCAAGGCGGTTCCCAACAGCCCCATCTTGGAAGACTGCATTAGAGGAAATTATGCCCTGAAAGGAAAAATTGTTTTCACCCGTGGAAACACTTGTTTTATAACTTTCAGGAAAATAAAGCAATAAGCCAAACACACAAATACAAATGTCAGTGACATTTTGCCGCTAGCAATAATGGATATGTGGTCATTTCCATCTTAGTCTCCCTGTTTCCTAGAAACTTCTTCATTTAGCTCTGTGACAGATGAGAAGCTCACTGAGAAGTAGTTGATTTCTACAAATAGCTCTCCACCCACCTAAATGTTCAATGCCTTTACGATCTTTTGTCTAAAAACTCAGCTGCTAATCCCTGCCTCCTGGGTTCGTGGTCTGGAGACCCTGCCCACGTCCTGGCCTGTCAGCCTCCGTGTGTGGTTGGTTCTCAAGAAATAGAGAAGCAGAGTCCTGGGACCTGGTTTCCTTTCTCCCAGCTTCGACTCTGCTCCTCTCTGCCATTGGCTTTATCTACCATTTCTATTTCTAACCCCTGTTTCCGCTCCCTCTAATTGTTCCCATTGGGACCAACATATATACTAGCATTCTTATTATTTCCAAAGATATATTGAAGTACTACACTGAGATTTCCTACAAGGGAAACGTCGATTCTGGTTCTGAAAAGACAAGCATCCAACTCTTTTATTTAGGTACATCTAATTCCCAAGAATTTGGAGACCGATAATTGGCTTTCGTGCTACTTAATTACATATTCAGAGATGTTATCTAAAAACTCCTTTGGGTGTCCTATATATGCGCTGATATTTTTAGTTTCACTTTTGCTTCTTCTGTTCCTAAGAAGATTTAAAGAATATCTAGCTCTCCTCCAAAAGAGAGAAATCCTCAGAGATCGTAAAAAGCAAGTCGAAATATGTTCATTAGTAGTATGTCTCATGAAAGTGATTTGCTGTCATCCCTGCCAGTCTTTCAATTATTTACTAGGATTGAGATCCTGAACTTGGTCTCAGGTAAATCTCTAGGGTAGGGAAATGGTTGTCTCTGAGTGTTGATAATGTCCTATAACATTTGGGTATCATGAAATGACACAAGGGAGGAGTTTGACCCTTTTCAGAGTTTGGGAAATTTCTCCCTGTAAAGCTTCAAGGCAGGACAGATTCCTGGGTATATTGGTAGCTGGTGGGTTAAAATAACGAATCTTTATATACAAAGGGGCTTTTTACAGGTTTTGCCTCAAGGATGAGCCTGTAGGATGTATATTCATAAACCAGAAGCCTCAGCGATTAGTCCTCATATCAGAGAGAGGGGAGTTTGTCATTTATTTGTCACAATTTTATTGGTTCTTGTTCTGCAAATCCAGCCCTAATATCTTGGCAGAGAGGTAAAACTCTATATGCTTCCTTATTTCATTCATTTTGGGCATTATTGTCTTTCCTATTTGGGATGGATCTATCACCATCCTAACTTGAATTTACTTAGAAGTAAAGTTTGTCCCCGAAGAGACATGCATTTTTAGTTTACAGCACGTGCTCGCCAGTGACTTTCTCTGGGGCCATGCCATGCACTTCTTGGCTTGAGGCTGAAGCCTTGAACTTCCCATGACTGGAGTTGAGAGCAGTGTCAACTTCCCCCTGAGTCACAGGACTCTGGGGGTGGGGGGGTGGGGGGGGAGGTAGAGATGCTGGAATAAAATCAGGAACCTTTTAGGAGAGAGGAATGCATACTTGGCACGCAGCCAACAGTGTCAAGTCAGTTAATATTCTTGCAATTTCCAGGGTCATTTTTTTTTATTCCTTAAATATAAAAGCAATCTTGTCTTGTTTTCAAGGCCTCAAACACAGTATTCGTCCTTTAAAGACTTCATTCCCCCAAACAGTACTCTCTGGCACCCTCCACAAGAGCTCCTTGAAGCCAGGTACTGTGCCTGGCTCATCTGAATATTCTTGGCACTCTGCACAGGTTCTGGGCCACGGTAGGCACAGCATGAATATTTGCAGAATAAATGCATGCAATTTAGTCTCGAATTTCGCCAAGGATTTGAGCACCCCAGACTTGGTATAAAGCAAAGCAGAGCCAAAATGCAGACCTACGAGAGTCCCTTTACACTGTTGCCCCCGTCATAGGGCTGCCTCTTCTCCCTATTTTCATTTTGGTTTCATTTTATTTTTGTAAAGCTTATGACTACCATAAAAAGCACAAAAACTCTATTTTTTAGATTGATTTAACAGGGTGACCATGTTTTTGTTTGTTAACTCGTTACTGATCTACCATAATTTAAGGACATTTGGCATATTTTAAAATAGATTGCTTATTCCTGTTTTAACCCCCTTAAGTCTTTTTTTTTTTTTCCCTGCCTACTGCCAGGATAAGAGCCAGTGAAGGGATGGTTGAAAATAGGACTGCGTTTTAGCAGACCCTGTGTGTTCTTGATGTGTTTCTTATACTATCCCTCCACTGGGTTGACTGTACTAATCCCATTTAAAAGGTAAACTAACGGGGCGCCTGGGTGGCTCCGTCGGTTAAGCGTCTGCCTTCGGCTCAGGTCATGATCCCAGGGTCCTGGGATCGAGCCCCATGTGGGGCTCCCTGCTCTGCGGGGAGCCTGCTCCTCTCTCTCTCTCTCTCTCTCTCTCTCTCTCTATCCCTCTCTCAAATAAATAAAAATTTAAAAAAAAGGTAAACTAAAAATATTCACTGGCGAGTGATTTTTCTCAAGTCTCTATATTCATTACCCGTGGCTACTGCAACAAATCACCACACGCCTAGTGGCTCAAAACAACACAAATGTAAATGTATCTTTTTCAGCTCTGGACCTCAGAAGTCCACAATGGTTCTTATTCGGACAAAACCAAGGCCTCACCAGGCCTACGGTGCTTTCGGAGGCTCAAGGGGAGAATCTGCTCCCTTACTTTTTCCAGCTTCCAGAAGTGCCCTGCATCCCTCGGCTCGTGGTCCCTCGCCCCATCTTCAGATCACCCTGTCCTTGACCTTCCTGCCTCCTCCTCCCATTTTGTAAGGATCCTTGTGGCCACACTGAGCCCAACCAGATCATCTCCCCATCTCCACATCGTTAATGACGCCTGCCAAGTCCTCTTTGCCATGTAAGGCAGCAAATTCATAGATCCCTTAGGATGGGGAAATCTTTGGGCACATTATTCTACCTACCATAATCCTAGACCCAGAGAGTGTCTTCACAGCATTTACCTTCTGAATATACAAAGGAGACAAGATTTCGGCTTGTGTGCCTTCGCCTGATAGCCTGTCTTGGATGTTACTTAATTTTATGAAGAACTAACCTCTTCTGTATTTGTGTGGACAAATTGGGGTTGAGCACACGGATAGCAATGCTATTGTAATTACTTTGGCACCTTGGCAGTTGAGAGCCTGTGAGTTTTAGAAGTTTTTTAAAACTTACCCTATAGTGACATGTTGGATGAACTCAGAGTCTTCTAACTTTTGTCTTTTAGGCTTATGTACAGAAGTACATTGTGAAGAATTATTTCTACTATTACCTATTCCGATTTTCCGCCGCTCTGGGTCAAGAAGTCTTCTACATCACATTTCTTCCGTTCACTCACTGGAACATTGATCCTTATTTATCCAGAAGACTGATCATCATATGGGTTGTAAGTATGCTGATTACTCACTAACCATGACTACGCCTACAACGGCTACCTGCTTTGGCATTCAGATACTTTGCATATGTGGTCTTCTTCTTCTTTTTTTTTTTTAATCGCTTAGAGTCGAATTTTTATATGGTTTACTTTGGAAATATTAAAAAGCTATGAACACAACTTGTTTGCAAAAACCAAACAAACCTGTGATGCATGTACATTGGCACACACCTCTATTTGGGGGAATAAACCTAGAAGAGAGATGATGTGAGGTGCAGAGGAGAACGGATGTTTCTGAGAACCCATGTATAGGGGCGTAAAATGCATCCTCCCAAGAGGCCAATTTTAGTACAATTTGACCCAAAACTGAAACTAGAAGCCATTGACTAAATCATTCCAAGTGGTCTTAGAAGCTCGGAACTAGGGCCCTGGCACTTGGGAGGACGCTACCAGTCGCTGCATGAACGTGCTTAGTGACTCGTCTGTGAAGGCGAGGGAGCTTTAATGATCAACCAGTTCAGAGGTCAGTTTGCTTCCCTGGGAGGGGGAGCATCAGGGCGAGGCTGCCAGCACGCTGTTTCCCCAACTCAAGATTCTGCGCTGAAAACGGGTTCACGAGCTCTTGGCTGTGTGAAAGGAGTCTGGGTTCTTGTGCAGCTCTGCTCTGAGAAGCTGTATGGTCTTAAGCAAATGACTCCACCACTCAGCTTTATTTTTCTCATTTGTAGACCAAGTTCAAGGGTCTAGAGAAGCCTCCGTCAGAAGCCATAACCTCACATGTCCTTTAAGGCAAGAGAAGCGAAGTAAAAGAGTGAAGTCCTGGGTGGGGATGGTGGGGAGCGGGTGTCAGTGAGAGTCACGGTGTGGCCACTAGGGGCACTGGGGAGCAGCCACCCCTCCACTCCACCTGTGACCTTCGCGAAGCAAATGGGCTGGAGTTGCTAGATGTGTTTTTAGTGGAAAGCCTCCCATTTTTTAAATGTAGGCTTACATCTTTAAAACATTATGTGTCAGCTGAACAAAGAATCCTTGAAGTCCACATGTACGAGGCTTGGTTTGAAGACTCTAGCCTAGAGCTTTAACCACTAAGGTCTCTAGGGCTTATGGTTATGATTATTTGGCCCCAAATTCTTCCTGACTTTTTTTCTCCTCCTTTTCTCTCTAAAACTACAAGCCACTGGTTCCTTTCCCCATCCCTGTCCCCAACCAGTCTTTTTCTGAAATCTAGCTCCTGTATGAGCGAGAGTATGACCTGAGATTCTGCAAAAGCATAGGCTTCTTGCAAAAGGCAAAAGTTCGTGTAATCAATCGTGCATGTCTCTTTCTGATGTCCCTTCCCTACCTGCAGAGCAGGGCTGTCCCTGGCTCTACTAGGAGGGCAAGGAGAGTGCGTGGGGGCAGGGAGCATTTCTGAAATGCTGCAAAGGTACACGGTGCTTGTGTTTCCTCCCTGCTGTTTACTTTCTAAGTGTGTGTGCATATGAATATTTATCAGTTTTCCAAATTTTATGGTGGTTGAGTGAGGCAAATGATGTAAAGCACTTTAATAATTGTTCATGTGCACCGTCTGCTCAAGGCAAGCTGTCTCCCCCACCGAGAGTGGGCCGTTTTTCCTGAGGGGCTGAGAGGATCTTTACACCCGATGGCAGTCAGGGGACTCTCTGATTGTCCTTTTGGTTGTTATGTTTCACCGTGGAGCCCTCCTTTCAAAGTGCTTGAAGGATTTCCTGTGTGAGGTGAATTACCAGTCTTTTGTCGGAGAGTGAGCAAATCAGATCTTGGCCTGAGAAAGTAAAAGAGCAACTTTTGAGTAGCAGATCATCCTGCGCTCTGGTGAGCAGTTCCTTGCTTTTAAAAATGGGTGTGTGCTCAGGTCCACAGGCACCTGGGCTCAAGGTTCCATGTCCTGCGGGGTCAGTCGGATCCTCAGAGCAGGGAATTCCTAGTAGTTCCTTGTGCAGACAGACCGTGGAAGCCATTCCAGGAGTTAGACAGGGACAGGGAGGGACAGGGACAAGCAGAGGTGGACGAGGAGAGACAGAGAGAGGGAGAAAGAGAGAGGGGCCCGGAGAGGCACAGATGGAGAGGCACATTGAGAGGTGGGGACGAGGGAGCTCTGTGCTGGCTGCAGAGATCAGGAGAGATGCTTGGTTTGGCTCCACAGGAAGGTAAAGGGAGTCCCTGGTGGTGGAGGGGGTGGGGGGGGAGTTGGGAGGCAAGGCAGGGTGGAGCACAGTGAGGTCCTTCCTCTGAGGGAGCCTCTCCTGCGGAAGGGACATGGGTCTTCAGGGAGTGAGGATGCAGCCACGCTAATTACACGAGGCAGAGCTGAAGCCCCCTAGTGTTAAACAGCTTATCTCGCCCCAAAGTCTTCGAAAGGCAACTGTGTTCAAGAGTGCCAAACCTCTTGTGAGATTCTATATCTATTCAACAGTTGTCCTTGGATGGAATCACAACAGGTGTTATTGCATTTAAAAATTATTTATCGCGCGGGTGACTCATACCATCTGAGGTAGCTTAGCAGAGAATTTATGGTTCTATTAAGCCCTTCCTCGTCGCAATCCTGACTGTGCCCCCACCCACACGCACACACATTGTAAGGCTTCCATTGCTTTTATTGGCGTCTGTGTTCATTATCTTATTTGATTTCCTAACAATGGGTGAGTATCATTTTCATCATTTTACAGATCGGGATAGTAATGCTTCAAATAATAATGAGCCCTACCCTATGTTGAGTGGATCAGTGTATATTAACACTCACTGTGACGATGCTGTCCATATTTTTACCTCCTTTAATCCTGCCGGCGATCCTGAGAAGTGGTGATTGCCAGTCCATTTTACAGATCAGGAACTGATGTCTAGAAAGATTAAATAACTCACCCAGGATCACATTAGGGGAAGTGGATTTGATCCTGGCTCCCAGAGCCTCCTGCAGTGCAGACAGCTGCTGGAGTCATTTCTGAGAACAGAGCCAAATGACATGAAGAGCATTCTCTCTCTCTCTCTTTTTTTTAAGATTTTATTTATTTATTTGACAGAGACACACAGCGAGAGAGGGAACACAAGCAGGGGGAGTGGGAGAAGGAGAAGCAGGGTCTCCGTTGAGCAGGGAGCCCGATGCGGGGCTTGATCCTAGGACCCTGGGATCATGACCTGAGCCGAAGGCAGCTGTTTAACCTTAACCGACTGAGCCACCCAGGCGCCCCTCTTTTTTTTTTTTTTTTTGAGATGTTAAAACTGAGGCTTTAAGCATTAAAATGACTTTGCCCAAAGTTACCTCCTCCTTCTTCTTCTTTTTTTTAATTTTATTTTTAAGTAATCTCTACATACAACCCGGGGCTTACAACCCCGAGATCAGGAGTCACACGCTCTACCAGCTGACCCAGGCAGGTGCACCCCAAAGTTACCTTCTATTGCATATTCACTATGATTGTGTTGCAGGTTTGTCCATATGACATTTATGAACTCTGTATTCTATCTAAGCATCTTTTATGTAACTTTCTTGACAAGTCAAAGTATTTTATCCCAGAAAATGTAGACAAGCGAACCTTTTCAGTTAGCTGAAAGACCTCAGTGAAGTCATCATTTCCCTCTTCTGTCACTTACCAGGGTATTTAACCTGGCATTGGATTCAACCATTGGATTTCACTGAGCAGAGATGACTGAATGGTTATCGACCTAGATTCTCATGAAAAGACATGGTAGACTATGCTTTAGGAAATCACTGTCCAGAGTGACTATCTCATCTCTTGACTCCCACTTTGGTGTGGTGGCAGCCCCACCAAAAAATAAAAGCTTTGAAATAGTATTGCTGTGTCTCCAAAAGGTGAGAGGTCGTTTCATTGAAATTGCATGGAGGTCAGCTTTGTAACAGGCAAAAATCTCACTTTTTTGCTAAATCAAGTTATTCTCCATTTAGTAAAAGAGCAATGCAAATATTGATACCACAGTTGATCCTTGGGAAGTTCCTTCTTGTCTGTTCTTAATGATATTTTACTTATTTATATACTGCCTCTTTTAAGATACCTCCTGGCATTCAGAACGAGGTGCAAGAAAAAAATGGGAAAAGCAAAATTTGGGGAAATACGGATAAATTAGGAGATAAAGGCCTAGTATGAAATGAAATGTAGCCTGCTGATTCAAAGTTGAGCCACAAATCTGTCTTTGACTTTGTCCTGACCAAACCAAAATGAGATTCAATTACATCCACTAGGAAACATTTGGCTTTCCCCTAAGGGAGCAAAACTTTTCCTGACACACATTCATAGAATCATTGAGCTCTGTTGCTAAATTATTTTCCTAGAAATAGTGTGGTATCACTACCCCCATCATGTGTGAGGACCCATTTTGACTTTTCCTCATAAACTTTGTGCATTCTCATTTTTTAATCACTGCTGATTTCACCAATGAAAAAATGGTATCTCAGTTAATTTTCATTTCATAGTTTTAGTGAAGATGAAAGCATTTTTCAGATTTTTATTAGCCATTTGTATGAACTCTTCTGTGAATTGTTAGTCTGCCTTTTGAGTGTTTTTTTTTTCTTAAGGGGCTTTAGTTTTTTAATTGACTTTTTCATCAGTTATAAAATGATACTGAGCTATTGATTTTTCCATGGATCAGAGACCATGTATCTTTATAGATAAGATCTTTAGAAGTTTGAGACTTTGAGAAATGGTATTTAACTTTATGGTATCATTAGTGACTTAAAGTCCTTTAAAATTGAATTTCAGGGGCGCCTGGGTGGCTCAGTCGGTTAAGTGTCTGACTCTTGATTTTGGCTCTGGTCATGATCTCGGGGTCCTGGGATTGAGCCCCACATCCGGGCTCCACGCTCAGCAGGGAGTCTGTTTAAGGATTCTCTCTCTCTCTCTCTCTCTCTTTCTCCCTCTGCCCCTCCACCCCCTCTAAAATAAATCTTTTACAAAAATTTAATTTCAGTGCTTTTATCCTGGGTGTTTAGTTTGGGCACAGACCTCACCACTCCCTATTGTCTTACCCCTTGTGACTGCCCT